TTCACTACTAATGGCATCAATGATAATCTGATTATACAATTCTGGGTTTGAAAAATTTCGTTTCACTACTAATGGCATCAATGATAATCTGATTATACAATTCTGGGTTTGAACAAGTTTCGTTTCACTACTAATGGCATCAATGATAATCTGATTATACAATTCTGGGTTTGAAAAGTTTTGTGTCACTACTAATGGCATCAATGATAATCTGATTATACAATTCTGGGTTTGAAAAGTTTCGTTTCACTACTAATGGCATCAATGATAATCTGATTATACAATTCTGGGTTTGAAAAGTTTTGTTAAATACACCAACAGAATTATTCTGGAGTTTCTACATTACCTAAATATTTGAAACCTGGAAGGCATACTGACAAATAAATCCAACAACAAAAATATAGCGTGTTTCTATATTACGTACAAAATACTTGAAATCTGGAAAGAATTCCAACACTTAAGCGCTACAATATAAATACTGTTATTTTGTATTTTATGCACAATACTTAAAAGCTGGATAGTATTCGGATAGCGTAAGTATTACAAAAGAATTATCTATTGCCATAAACCTCATAAGTAATCTTTAAATGCTGTATAAAAAACCTGTACAACAGTCGCATTTACTGTATAACAATAGAGTCATTGAAGATAATCGTATGATGTGTCAAAAGCATCACTTTATATAAATGTTTTAAAAAATTCAAAGAAATTAACAATTTATTTCTACTCTATTAAACTTAACTTCTATATTACCATCCTTATTTCAAAAATAATCATAATTTTTTGTATAATTGTTAGTCATAACTTTTATAATTATGACAATTAGCAATGCATGTTTATCTTACTAAACTTGACATTACAAGTATAATTTCCTGCATATTTTAAAACTGTCTGTGTGGACCTTTATCAAAAACTTCAATCTTTCTTCAGTATTTTCATGTTCATTTGTTTTTAGATTATATTTGTACAGTAAAGAGGTTTAGATATTATTCTATAAGACATTTTTTTACATGAAATACAAGATAAAGATCTGTGTTTTTAAATTCGTCAAGTGTGATTCGAGTATTTCAGTTTAACCTTATATAATATTTTATTACTATAATGATCAGACTTGTTTGGCACTTGTTTCTAAATATGATTAGAAAATAACTAGTCCTTTTATTATCTCCTATCATACATTGGGACTTATCAAATAAGTTTCTTAATAGTGCATGTCACAAGAAATTTAGTTTTAGTTTTAGGAGTTTTCTAAGCTCCTTTGACCTGGTAGTTTTAATTTTATTGGTAAACTACATACAGTATTTTTATGTATTTGATGTGTTTTTTTCTCTATAGACAATTCTGAAACGACCTGTTATACCTTGTGAATATGGAAGTAAAGTTCCAACCAATATCAGACAGAGATATTTGAATGTTTTTATTGATGAATGCTTGAAGATGTACGTCAATGAAGAGCAAGCATTTAAACGTGTAAGCTAAACACTTACCTTTATTTTATTTTTACAAAATAAAACTTCAAACTTGATAAACGGGTTGCTTTCCTTCATGAGTTGAATTAATAAAATAAAATTTCAAGTATTGCTTTCTGTACAAACTGTTTTCTGGAAAAACAATTTTTATCTGTCTTTCTGTCGTTTTGGCATATTGTCAGAAGTGGTGTAGTGTTAGAGCAGTTAGGGTTCAGACATTGCACATAGATTATTTTTTTTAGATATTAGGGTGATAGTATCAGCACAGGTACTCAGTTTTAAAAACATATGTACTGCAAAGTATCTTTTTTATAGCTAAATGTTAAAGTAATTTGTGGATTAATTACTTTTAGCTTTATTTTCATTCATTCTGTTAGATGCTTAATGTGCAGTTGAACATTAAAAGAATGGTCGTAATTTGGTACAACACTATCTTGAATGTTTGTCAAATTGTACTGTTTCTATATGCTCTAAAGTAGAGCAAACTTTATGAAGCTGTTTGATTTTTTCTTTCATACATTCAGGCTCTTGAAGAAGAAAAGAATACGTATAATCGTAGCTCTAACAAAACATTATACCTCAACTTGGCTGTTAACACTTTGAAACGATTACGAGATGAAGCCGAAACTACACTGCATGAATCACCTGGAGCTGACTCTACTGTAGATGATGATATCCCCACTACCTCTAAAACCAACTCTTCATCATCACTTGGGACTCAGAAACCCCAGAACAAAGTTATCTCCCATGAATACGTCTTGGGAGGACCAAAGGCTGCAAAAACTAGTTTTAGCATTGAACGACGGAAGAGTAAACCAGAAAAGGAAGAAGTTAAAGGTAAGCATTCCAGAAGTGTGGATTACTATGATGATTCTGGAGGCAGAGTTGTTAGCCATTTATTTTGGGTTCAAAAGTTTCTGATCTCCTCTTAATTAAATTAGAGGTCCTTTTTTATAGATACAAATGGTAGACATATTTGGTTCATGGTTCCAGTTCATGCAGAAACCAAAATAGTATCCATGGTGTTAATTTTAATACACATCACTAACTCAGTAACTTTTAAAAACCATTTTTCCAACCTTCACTTATAATTTGTTTTTAAATTCTACGGTCAAAAGATGAAGTAAGTATTTGTAGTCACGAGTTCAATAAATATTTAGTATATCTTTCCACATGGAACTGTTAGAAGATAAATTATCTATGATCAAATGAAAGGAATTAATTCCCATATTCATGATTAAAATTTAATAGTTAATGTGCTAAAATTGCACTTTGGACTATAGATGCATTATAAGAGTGACAGACAAATTCCACTACTCTGTAAGACTGTAGGTACTGTTGACTAGGTACTTTTCATTTTGTTGGTCTGTAAAAAATTAGGGATTATTAGCACAGTAACTTGAGTAAGTTTGAACAGATATATGAAAACAAACAAAATTTTTATCACACAGCTATTAATTCTCTCAACACGGGCTTGGTCAGTTTGATACACCACATGACCTCTTTGTACTTGTTCAAATTCCTTATAAATTTGATACTACTAACTTTAAATATAATGTGTATATCTTTCAGAAAATATAATTGTTTTGCATTCAAAAAATCATATTTTTAGTGAAGTATGTTTAATAAACTAAAAATAGATTTATCCTTTAATATATCGAGTATTTGTTTTGAATAGTCTGTATGCAAAGTGATTTTCATGTTAAGATTAAAAGTACTTTTCTTCATCTCAAAAATCTCAAATTTCATTTGTGTAATTTCTAAAACCTCCTAAGTACATTTCAAATGTTTGTTTGCAGTAAAACTTTATATTTTATCTGTAATTTTCTCTATCCTAACTGTATACAAGGTTGATCAATTTGACTGACCTTGTAAACACCAAAATAAATCTTAATTACCCTCTTTTTCTTTCTAGAATGAGTTCAAATGTAGCGTGAAACTACATTCTTTTATCTAAAGTAGCTCTTTGTTTGTAACAGTATATATCTATATATAATTGAATTTTATTGTTTTATTGCCCTTTGAACCATGTCTAACTACTACTATTTGCACCATTATAAGTTGTAAATCATTTGGGGAATGTGCAACTCACATTACCCACAAGCTACTCTGAGCTGCTCCTGTGCATGCCTCATGAAATACTGTTATTATATTGTTGTTTACACTTAACCCTACTCTTTTTATACTAATGGTAGTAATTCACTAAATAAATGTTATTTAATTAAATAATGCACCAAAGAACATAGACTAATAACATGCAAAAAGTAGACAATTTCCTGTAATTCTAAAATTTTTTTCTGGCTTTCTAACTACACAATAAGAGCTGTTACAAATTCAACTGAGCTAGTCGTTATCTTTCTTATGGGAACAGAGCTTGTACTAATGGAGAAGATAATAATTATCTATTGAGAACACGTTATACAATACGTCATTTGATAGATAAAAACATTTTCTTTCTGTTGGTTATAGGTAATATATAATTATATGTAAGAGAGAGCTATTAACAAATCCTGAAAGAAAGGATGTGACAGGTAGGTGTGGCAGGAGGGGGGGGTCTGATTTTATATTTGATAGCTCTATAACCAAACAAAATTGAAGGCTATAAAAATTATGGTTTGTTTAAGCAATGATGATTTTATAGTGAGTAATTTACATTTCATTTCATACATTTTGAAGGGGTGGTGGATAAAATAGAGAAGAGAAGATGCCTAGAGAAAATGTGTCACACTAGGGGAAATTTAGGGTTTTTTTTTTATATTGCCTTAAATTTGAAACTGTACAATTATGATAGATTAAAACTTTGGCTTTCTATTGGTTATAAATAATGTAGTATAAAACATCAGACAGAACTATTGGCAATTTGTGAATGAGAGGATGTGACAGGTGGGTGCGACCAGTGGGCCTGATTTTCTAGTATATGGCTTCTTAAACAAATAAGATCGCAGGCTATAAAAATTATGCTTTGCTTGAGTAATATTTGTATTGTAATAAGTAATTTATGTTAAATTCCATACTTCTTGGAGGAATGATAAACAAATTAGAGAAGAGGGAAATACCTAGATAGTAAATGTCACAATTCTCATACTAGGGCAGATTGAGGATTTTTTAATGTTTTCTTATGAAATTAAGAACTTAAGATTTATATATGAAAATTTGGTTTATTAACTGTCTTTTTATGCCAACTTTATTTGTATACATTGGTAATATAGTAGTTTAATTAAATTTTGAATTCAACTCTGTAAACGGTGACATGTCAAATTTGACCTACCCATTACAAAAGGGTTAAATTGTCAGGGTTGTAATTTAGTGTTTTGTATTATACACACACTTTTATCATTTCATATATGTTGTTAAAAAGTTTGATTGTATCTTGACCCTCTCTTCAGTGTTCTGGTCATTCTGACCAACTTTCCAACCACCATAGAACATGAAACTATAATATTATAACTTTTAATGTAGTAAGTGTACCTTCAAGAAATTTGGCAAGCGTTTCGTAAACACTACAAGTCATTTGTATGCAAAAAATCAGATTTTTAAATTATTTTTTGCTCAAGATTTATTTATGGACTCAAAGTCAGACTCTGACTAGCCCGAGTGCAAGATGATTTTCATGTTAAGATTAAAAATACACCAGAACTATATTTTATCTGTTATTTTCTATACACTAACACTATTTACAGACTCGGCCCATTTGACCAACCTTGTAACCACCACAAAAAATACAAAATCAATCTAAATATTTTTTCTTTATAGAATAACTGTATATTATTACAGACAATTACATGATATTTATTCTTACAGCCAAGGCTAATACAAAATAAGTCTCCCAGTCATTTAAATTCCTTACTGTAATATCACTTAGAACCAAAATGAATATCACAGTGTAAAAGTTTTGTGTAATAACAGCATCGAGTTACCAGCATGCTCAGTGAAATTATGACATGCTGTTCTCACAGAATGTGATTGTGCTTTGGTTTGTATTTAATTTCCTCCATTCAGTTTTTCTAATATAACCTGATAACTTTCTGATTTTTACATTTTAGTCACTTTTATAAAAAAAAATTATAAAATATACATAAAAAAAAACAAGACACTTAGTACTTACAATTAGCTCTTGTACTTTTTTGCTCTCGAAATCTCTTGAAAATTAACCTTATTTGTTTTGTTAGTACTTTGCTTAATTTTTATTTATTGTAAATATGCAACTTATAATGTAAATATTAACATATAACAGAGAAAATGTCCTAAAACTATTAAAATTTAAGTGATTTTCTAACTCAGCTATATGTCCATTAAACTTTTTCTATTAACTACTCCAAGCAATCTCAGCAATGTTAAAATCTCCCACACTACCAACGTCCATGTAAATCATTTTTTAGCATGCTATTAGTCATTTTGTGATGCACATCACTGATGTTGATAAATTGTCTGCTACCATGAATAAACATATTTTTCTTGCAATGTTTATTCTGCTAAATAATGCAAATTTCCATTCACTTCTTAATCACATTTAATCTCTTGACTATTCATTCTATGGCTATTTCCATTCACTTCTTAATCACATTTAATCTCTTGACTATTCATTCTATGGCTCCTGCTTATTGTCCTTTGGTGGTTACAGCCAGGACTGGTATGAAAAACCTCTTATTAAACATTTGTGTTTTGTGACTTTGAGCATGTACGTTATTTCTGCTTCCTGTATGTCAAGGCTGTTTCTGTAATCCTCCTACAAGTTTTAACATTGGATATTTTAGGTGGGAGTTTTTTCATGGCTGAATGAAACCGGGAGGACTCTAGTAAACTTGAGACAATAACACACTTTCATAATTCCTGTCTGACTGGAGGTACATAACTGTTATAAGTTTGTGTTGTCGAGCTGTAATAAAATCTTGGATTATTTTGGTTTATTCATAAACCAGTTTTCAGTTTTTTTTAAAAGATATATATTTTTACTTTTTTTTTTTTCTAGCAAAGATTTTGTACTAATCTCTTGATTTCAATTATTTTTAGGACTTCAACTTTACAAGCTGTTAGTACCGTACATCCTGACACTTGAACAACTAGAAGAACATGGGTTTCCAAAGCTACATCCCTCCGAACCGGGAAGAGCCATAATCCAAAACAGAGAGAACAAAAAACAAACATCAGATTGTAAGCATTTGTTAAATAAAATATTTAAGCAAAATCTATTTATCTGTGTGATGACAGTTATTTCAGGTTTACGTGAAACATATTTGACTGTAAATGATAACAGAGAAAATGAGCAGTTAGTTCACTGATAAAGTCTTGCTTATACATTTCCTAGTTAGTTCATGCTTCAATGTTATTAATTCAATTTAAACTCCAGATTCAAAGTAACTAAACTGTCATGTTTAACTACAAGATTTAATTATTGAACCAAATCTATATTTGATTTCACTAATAGATGTTTAGGTACAAAAACCTGGAACTAAATGAATTTTAATGTTTTCACTGTACACTAGGATTTTAAGCACCTTAAGTTTTTATTTAGATTTTCTTTTTTTTTTTCAAACCAAATAGTATCTATCAATCCTCTTCCCCTCATCATCAATTTTTGACTAATACTTCAACTATTGTGACATAACCAAATACAAGATATATCCCCAATAATATGTGAAATTTTAGGTGTTGAAATTGTGGATGTGTTCAGTCTGAATGTAATGAAAAGGATCAGATAAGCAATTTTCACCTTCAAATTACCTTAAATAAGAATATAGAACATGCACATAATATTCCATATTTTTTAAATTCTAATGCCTTTTTTTTTATTGATTACACAAATTAAAACACACCCTCACTCTTCTTAAAAAAGACAAAAATAATAATTAGTTTTCAAGACATACAGACTTTGTCACATAAAATAATTAACAGAAAGTTTGAAACCACTAAAACTTGTCAAGATAATGTCACAGCAACACATTTATTCTTTATTACAAGGCTTTCTACTGGTTGACACATGCCCAAATAAACCAGTCACACAACCACTTCATTCCCACTTAGTCTGAATGGCAACAGTGGTCACCTATACCAATTTATATACTTGTGTTGAATGAACTTGAATTATAATTTGTTTTTAATCATGATAGCATCAGATTGTTGTTGATGCCATTAGTAGTGACACAAAACTTTTCAAACCCAGAATTGTATAATCAGATTATCATTGATGCCATTAGTAGTGACCGAAAAGGTGTGGAAATATTCTACAGGTTTCATTATTATACAGTTCAGATAGTAAATGATTAATTTTATATTCAGAGTTAAGTACCTAAAACTATTTTGAAAAATTTAACTCATTTTTATGGTGGGTAAATAATTTGACAATTACAAGATACAGTATTTAAAATAATTGAACAGAGGAGAAATTTTTAATTTGTTGAAATATATGAAATTCTGAATTTTTTCTAGGACAATTCGTATTCTTGAACATATTACTAAAAGGTCTTCTTGGCTTGAAAATTGAACTTCCATATATCCTGGACCCGTGCATTCAAGTTTCGAGTAGGTATTACAGAAACTCGTGGAGTATCTCTAACATAATGCTCAGATAAAATCCACTGTACATACACAACAGTGAAATACAGTAAAATGTATTTTGTCTACTAACATTTTGAGCAACTAATCTTCTTACACAAAAAGAAACTGCTTGAAACCTTACTAGACATAACAAATTTGTTTGTATATCAATGACATGTTTTTAAAGTGATTTTATTTAATTGTACTGTATTATTCTTCCAAAGCTGTATTGATTCAAGATCATCTGAATCCTCACACAATTACTGGTCATGGAAATTCACAATACCTAAATAAAACTATTAGTTCAGATTTCTTTGATATCATATGTATGCTCTAGATATTCACAAAATCTTTTATAGTATTTGATTAATGGATTATGATTGATTAGATTCTGATAACATTGTATAAGGCAGCAGAAATGGGTTTAAAAATGACAGTTTAATTGTGAAAACGAAAATTACAAATGGACTAAATTGAAAAGTCAGTTTTAGTGTTTGTAAAGTTGACTTGTGTTTAGAACATATTGGGAGACTAAAATAATGAATTAGAAATTAATTTAGAGCCTTTTATTACCATGTACAATATTTTGTCAATATCATAATTTTGAGACACTTACTGAAGTATTATGACAGATCACTCACGGGGGTCACTTTATATCACAACAGATCACTCACGGGTTCACTTTAGTATCACAACAGATCACTCACGGGTTCACTTTAGTATCACAACAGATCACTAAGTGGTTCACTTTAGTATCACAACAGATCACTAAGTGGTTCACTTTATTATCACAACAGATCACTAAGTGGTTCACTTTATTATCACAACAGATCACTAAGTGGTTCACTTTATATCACAACA